TTAGAGTTGCTAGGAGCATTAACATCAGCAAGACTTGCTAAACATTTAAAACAGCTGTTTTCAATTCGTGAAGAAAATATTTATCTGTGGACTGACAGTATGATAGTGGTTCACTGGATTCATAGTGCTCCTGAACGATGGAAAATGTTTGTAAAAAATCGATTATCTCAAATACAATCATTAACTTGCCCAAATAACTGGAGACATTGTAATGGGAAGTCCAATCCAGCGGATATTTTATCTCGAGGATGTTCAGCCGAATATTTGTTGTCTTCAAGATTATGGCAGTCTGGACCAGACTGGTTAGTTGAATCAGTGAGTGCTTGGCCTAGTAAATTTATCGTGACAACAGAGTTTTCTGATGCTGAATTAGAGCGCAAAAAGTGTATAAATGATATGATAATACTACCGTCTATTGCAGAAAAATCTAATTCTCTGTTGAATCTTGAAAATTATAGTAAATTAATTAGAGCTATTAGAGTGACTGCATGGATATTTAGGTTTATTCACAATATGAAAAATAAAACTGACAAGAAAACCGGACCCTTGATAGCAGAAGAACATTTTGCCGCAGAATTATATTTGATAAAAGAAGTTCAATATGAACATTTTTCTGATGAAATTAATAGTTTAAAGTCTGGACAGTTGATTTCAAAACACTCAAACATTTATGAACTAAATCCTTTTCTAAGTGGAGAAAGAGTTTTGTTAGTAGGAGGAAGACTACAAAAATCAACTTTTTTTGTAAATTTTGCTTTTCATGAAAACGCACATGAACGAGTTCTTCATACAGGTGTAGCTAGTACTCTCATGTTCCTCCGTAAAAAGTACTTGATAATTAGATCCAGACAAAATGTGAAACGTGTTATAAGAAACTGTGTACTGTGTCAGCGTTATAACTCCTAACCGATGCGACAAGTCATAGCACCATTACCTCTATCTAAATTTAGAGTGCTAAGAGTATTAATATTGTGCCATAGTATGTTTTTTACTGAAAATGTAATCGTAATGCGACTGATGTTGTATCTATTTTATTTAATTGCTATTTAAAGTACTGTATATTTAGTATTTAAAGAAATGTATATATTAGAAAATTTTAAGGTTGTAGAAATGTATAATTGTATTTAAAAATTTGAATTTAATTCTGAAAAAAAAAAAAAAAAAAGACAGGTTTCTTGTAATATTTCTAGTATTTTAGTTGAATTATGATAATCTTGATTTTGAAATAATTTGTTTAATATTATCTTGAGTTATATAAATTCTTGATTTAAATCCTGATGCTTGAATAGGAATGTTATGACAATAATTCTTGATGAAATTTATTTGAAAATTTACTTGATATTCTTGAAAACATACGGTAAGTTTTACATGTTCATGATATTTATGTGACATTTCTTGATTACAAAAACTTGAATTTGTATTGAAATGCATAATGATTCTTGAAAATGTTCATGTAACACTAATAATCTTGATTGTTCTGAACTACAGTTCAGCCGGGCCCAGTGTGTAAGAAATTTTATGTCAAAATATATTTTAATCGCCAAAGAGGGCGTAAATCTTTCATGATGTATATATACTTCTTGTTCTTGGATCTGGCACCGCCAGTTGAATGTGTGTTAGACATGAATAAACTTGGGAGTTTAGAAACCTGATTTGTAGTGTTCATGTATCTTGATGTTATGTGTGATTCGAATTAGTGTTTTTTGAACTAAGATATCTAGCAATTCTTGACAGTTAATATAATATTTTATAGTATATTTTGCTCATATTGAATTATGAATATGTAATATTTATATGGACCCCATACTGATTGTCTGGAAGTGCCAGAAATGTTGGAGACTGGCCTATTTACCACCAACTAGATCAGGATTTGTCGAAATTGCACCGAGTAAGATGACATATAGAAACTATAAAATCAAAAATGTGAAATAATGGTTTATGAAATAATGAAGTATTTATGCATTAAGATCATCCAGATTTACAAAAAAAAAAAAAAAAAAAAAAAAAAGAAGCACTATTTATGTGTTTGCTTCATTAAACATTTTTTTCAATGTAAGCTGCATGATTTTTTGTGTTAATATTTTCTCGTTTAATCCCATAGCTAGACATAATTTTTTGTTTAGTTAAAAGTTCTACTGTTCAAGTCCTGTAACTGGTATGCTGAGAATTCCCAATAAATTTTCATTCAAAGATGTTTCAATCTCAACAATCTCTGTTACTTCCTTCAGTACTGATAGTGATATTTTTTTAATTTAGAACCATACCACAAATTTCGCTGTCTGTTAGTTGATTGATGGAGCATTGTCATCGTAATGAAAAACTTCTGTTACTTCATTTTTAATTATTACCATTTCTCCATATTTCTTCCAAAATTCCATAAATTGGAAAATTCCAAAAATTCCATAAATTGGAAATTTTTCCCTTTTGTTTCGATACCCAAAAATTATATTATAAAATCATATATTTTGACATAAAATTTTTTACACACTGGGCCCGGCTGAACTGTAGTTCAGAACAATCAAGATTATTAGTGTTACATGAACATTTTCAAGAATCATTATGCATTTCAATACAAATTCAAGTTCTTGTAATCAAGAAATGTCACATAAATATCATGAACATGTAAAACTTACCGTATGTTTTCAAGAATATCAAGTAAATTTTCAAATAAATTTCATCAAGAATTATTGTCATAACATTCCTATTCAAGCAATTTACAGCTATCATCATAAAACTTAGCTAGTGTTCATTATTCACGACAATGGATGTATTGTTTGTAAAATTTCCGTCTGCTTTTATCACACACTGATAAAGTTAGACCAGAATTGCATTAGTTATTTATTATAATTAGTAAATAACTAATGCAATTCTGGCCTAACTTAGGTCTATTTCCTGTACATGCTTAAGGTTTACCTGAGTCCCAAACTAATATAGTCCCACACATACTTCAGGTTTATCTGAACAACAAATCTGTAATTATTAACTCGATGAACACAAAATGTAAACTTTTAGTCTATGACATCATTTACATTTCTTTGACATATGGAAAGCTACTAATACTAAAAAAACAACTGTTTGGACATCGAGGTATGGCTATTTGTTGATAGCCATGTGGTGATGAAAGCAAAAAATAAAAAATAATGATTTGCCAGATTGGCAACAGGGATATAAGTTATTCAGTAGGTATAAAATCAATCATGTTTTGATGTTCAATGTTTCAGTTTGAGATGTATGCCAAGAAAACAGAAGATACAGACCCAAATTATTGACCATACAGATTCATGCTAATTGTTTAAATGATTGTTTCTTTACTGCACTGTTTCTTCCACATGGAGGTATTTTGCTTACTGAAGTGAAATTAAAATCAGGACTCTTCCTATGCTTTATTTATTATGAAAAAATACCAACTGCACATGTGTAAATCATATAAAAAAACAATAATACTCTCGCATTATCTGCTCAACCCTTCTGCAAAGTCAGCAATTGTTAGTGACTACTTTTCGTCATTCTGTGAAAAACAGTAAATTGGCAGCAATTAAAATTAAATAATAATATAAATAAATAAATAAATTTAAAAAAAAAATTTTTAAACATTTTTTAAAAAATTTTAAAAATCGGCAGCACTCTGAAAATTATATAAGACAGAAACAAAATTAAAAATGCAAGAAACACCCATAATGAAATAATAGAAAATTACATACAACAAACATCTATAACAAAACACTACAAATTTCATAAAACAGTAACAAATTAACTAAATTAAAAATGTAACATTCATAATAAAACATTTAACTTTCTATTTTCTCAGTCTATGTGCTGAGAAATCTATGCGATCTGTTTTTCATCTAAAAAGAAGTTACAGAAAAGCACAAATTAACTTCATGGAATGTGCTTTCTACACACTATACTAACAGGCAAAACGCTAATGTGTGTGCAACCATTGGTTGGTGCCAAATAAATACATTTTCATTAAACAAAAACACACACCACAAAAAAAAAAAAAAAAAAAAATCTGAAAGGTTCCAAATTTTAAATTATGTCCAAAGGCGCATTTTTTTAAACATTTTGTGTGTTACCTTTATTTGTTAAACATCATGTTAAATATCATGTATCTACCATTTTGTTAATATTTTTAATTAAATGAAGTAATATAATATACAAGTATATTTTTTTTATTATTCTTAATTTTACCATATTTATGAAGATAACTATTAAATGAATATAAAATGAGAAGGTGCAACAACTTTATTATACTTGACTCACAATGCTGTCACAAAATATAAAAGAAACTTTTTTGGAGGAAGGATTCAAGAAGAAAACAAATAAAAAAAAGGGCATATAAAAGTGTAACACAATTTAATTTTTAACAACTTTTTCATTTAATTCCCAAGTACTTTATCTTCTTTAACAAAAGTAATTCCTAAAAGCTACACAAGACTTAACATTTCAATTCCATTGCAATTAATTTGCACCATATCAGTACAATTGGATTTAAATAACTTATACATATAAATACAATTTTTATTTGACCAATCGAAATATGCAATATTTAATCTACAATCGAAATAATTTTTATTTTCTAAGGTTTTCTTAAAGTACTTGTAAGTCGTCCTCTTTCGCAAAGCAAAAAATAACAAAATTTTAAAAAATAGAGAATAAAAAATATATATTCTTATGACAATCAAAAAGGGAGAAATTAATATTTTATCCGGACAGAGATCAAAATTTAAGCAATATGATCGGGATCCACATTTAAAAAAAAAAAAAGAAAGAAAGAAAAACACAAAACAATTCTATGATGATTTGAACACATTCCTTGTTGACATGCACCAACCAAAACAATCCTTTTAAAGACATGAGTGTAGGAAACGTACAATATGAAAAAATACCCTTTACGATTAATACAAGCCAAATTAAAAATTCACTGAACGAGCTTCCGTACAATATTATGTTAAGTGCAATAATCATGATATATTAAAATAAAATGTAATTCTACATACTGTGGATGGATTATGGCAGTTAGAATTTGAGTTCGCTCCGCACGGTGACCTCTGGACAGTAACTAAAGCCATATTAGTCGCAGCCTAAAACCTCTTGTCAATTGCAAGATTGGTACCATCACACTGAATAAAGTCACATAATAAACTTCTCTATGCGTTAAACATACTTAGCCAATTCTGAATTTGTTTACGTTACTTCGCAGAGGCATATACACCCAACAGTACCATTGTAGCATCTTTCTCAAAACATAAGAAGCGCATGCGCTAGCTTCCACCTCTTTCGGTTACTTCCGTTTTGATCGCTTCCATGCCGAGGAATGGAAATATTCTTTGATTGATGCAAGGAAAAAAGAAATTAGAAAACCGAAACGAACTCATGCGAAGTTCTGTCCGCTTTAGCAGAAGCACGCATGCATTGCAAGGCTTAAAGAATATGTACATTAAAATTTAACGGGTCTCGCAATCTATAAAAATCTATTTTCTTGTTACTTTTGCATAAAATTCTTCTTGTGTTTTTGAATAAGTCTATTTATGATATATCATAGAATATCAGTGAACTCTAAATAAAACTTCTAAGTTTCATTTTATAAAATAGTTAGCTTTTCTTCATGAAATTTCAGTTTGCTGAAATTTTACTCCACAATTAAATCACACACACACACAGATCGTATTTTATTCTCGAGTGTCAAGATGTAGAAACACAATATCAATCGCATTTTACTGAACGTTGCTTTTACTCATGAGAAGGATACCTGACAGGATTTCTTCATTGTTCTTTAGTGGTGAAATTCAAACCATTCACTAACTCTACTTAATCTGATTTCAACAAGTTTAGTTTTTTTATTTACTTTGATAGGAATAATTGATTTCATATCTACGTATATAAGTCTTCTACGTAATGATTGGCAATTCAGTAAATGTGAGGTTACATTTTATCTTTACCTCACAAGCGTTTCACTTGTTTTATGATACTCAGCTATCTTTATTTATGTTAATAATTGCACAAAACTTAACGAAGACTAGGCATCGAGGAGTAGGCGAAATTAAGGCTCCTCTAAACCAGGTATCTTTTTCTTCTTTCACCGTCAGCAATAAGAATTTTCTCTTTATCGGATTTATCGTGACAGGAATTAGAAGTGAAAAGAAGAAATGGATGAAGACATGTGCACTCTGCAAACAGTTTGTAACATCGTACTAATTTTTATGAACGTGGTATGATTAACGTTTTGAGCTGGTGACGAACTATTATTGATTTTTGTAAATTCTGTTCCATAGTTTCTATTTCATCATATACCTTGTAAATATGTGATGTTATTTTTTTTATATTTGAGAGCTTTTACGTATGGTTGCAGAACATCTTGATATACAGGCTGTTTTTATTTTGTAGGCTGGTTGACGATTTGCTTATTATCAGAAGTTTATTTTTATGATACATAATGCTCCATAATCCAGAATTGAGTGTCCCTAATGGGTAGTTTAATTTGCAAAATTATGAAACATATTAAATAAGTTTTATTATATATTATAATGTATCTTGTATTTTTGACGTTTAATACATGTCACATCAATGATAATAAGCTTTGATTGTCGGTTAACTATAAGATCGTTTCTGTCTGGAGAGGGCAACTATTTAATCATTAATAGTTAAATAAAAGAGGATGTATATTTTTTGAAAAAGGAGTGATGCAAAAATTTAAACCTTATTTGTAAAAAATCAACTTATTACATATAAATGCCATATGTGACATTAGTAAGTAAAAAAAAATAGGCTTACTTTCCTTAAAAATAGCAAGTCAGACACCCATTTCTGGATAAAGGAATATTTTTATATATTGACTGACTGATAAAATTGGAAGTGCCAGTGTTTAGTTTCCGTTAGAAATGATAAACAAAAGTAAATAATAATAAAATGATAAGCAATTAAATATAAATATTAATTTAATTAATGAGTATGATAAAATTTTATGTATTCAAATCAGTTATACAACAAAGTGCCTAAATTCGTCTTTGAGCTTCAGTTTGAATTACATAGTTTACTAAAAAATTGAGAAGTACTGGAGCCGAGTTGTGGTAGGCTTTGTTTAAATTTAAGTTATTAGAATAATAATGCATGTACTAATATTACTATGCAAAGCATAAAACCATTTTTAAAAGATATATTCCTTTGGCTATTTTTTGTTAATTTCATCTGCAGAGAACCCGTTGGCGCCATTGCAATTTTTACTCGCCAAACCCGAGCCGAGCCATAAATGTGATTTTTAGTGCATGTAAATTCAAGTTAGCAAACAAAACAATATATTAAGCATGTGGTAGTAAAAATTCACAGATAATAAGCATGTAGATGTAAAACTAACCGGTTAAACGTGATATACAAAAATAAACCTGTCTTTTTCATAATATATTTCACAATACAAATAACCTTCAACAGTAATCAAATTTTCTTCGGTTGCATTGTTAATAAAACTAGAACTTTATACATTTTATTATTTTCCAAGAGTCATTTGAACTGTATTCCTTACACCAGCAGTGATTTGCTAATTTTTATGACCATGGGGATGCATCAAACTACTCTGTCATCTTAGGTAATCAATAATATTTTTTATCTCAATTTAATCAGCTACTTATCTCACACCTGCCATCCTCTGAAAGGTTATTGTTAGAAAAGCATTAACAATATAGTATCTTGTTAAAATTTTATGCCATAAAAATTGGAGCTGAGAACCAGCATCTATCGACGAAAACTTCTTTAATTATACGACAATATTTCTATCTATTCGTTGTTAAAAAATTCAGAAAAATTAACGTGGAAAATCGGAAAAAATAATAATAAATAAGAGAAGAAAAATGTAAATCTCCAAATGCAAACAACGACAGTGATAATTCAACAAAATGAATGCAAGAGGAATGGTTGAAACCTTCGAACAAGCGAATAGGATGAATCCGATAGGTTACCAGGTTTGAACTATTATTGCCAAAGTTGGCAATGTTTACATTTCCCGGGTTCTCTGCAAAAGTGCTTCCATTTCTGATTATCTGTACCTTTATTATCAATCTTAGTTAGAATTGCCAGTTTTGGGCATATTTTCGAGTGTACATGTAACAGCAAATAGCCCATGTACATACCACATTTTTCTTTGAATACATGCTTTATATTTAGCAAGCTGTAATACATGCTTTATATTTAGCAAACTGTGTCAACTGGCAATAAAAATATAAATACAGTACAAAGTCCGTAATCCGGACTCATTGGGACTTTGGCGATTCTGTATTAGGGGTTTTTCCAGATTATAGATCATCAATTTAAATCTGGTAAGATGGCATGCAGAAATTATATAATTAAAAATATGAAACCATAATTTATGAAATAAAGAACAATTATGATCTAAAGGGTATCAAAATTTACAAAAGAAAAAAAAAAAGCTTAACATTTATTTGTTTACTTTATTAAACATTTCTTTCAGTTTAAGTTGCTTCGTTTTTTGTGCTAATACTTTCTCGGTTAATCTTTGGATTATGGTAACTTGGTGATTTTTGGCAAAAATTTGGCAACCAACCCTGCTACAACAACCTTCTACTTTTTTTCGGCACCATTTTGTCTTCACGATGTAAAGACAGGTTTCTTTTTTTTTTATTTACTCAACATTTTTTCCAACAATCTGCTAGCTGAATTACGCTTATGCTAGAAATTTTATGGAACAAAAGTGCTTAATCATGACGAATATTAACTGCAAAATTGGGAGAAAGTGCAGAATCGCAAACTCCTTGCCACGTTTTTCAGAATGGCACATACACGGTAACCATGTACATATCGACCTATTTTTACTTTAAAAAAGTCCCAGAATTGCACAAAAATGGCATTCGCACACTTTTGACTTTATCCATGTACACTACTTTTTTCTCGTAAATTAAAAAAATTTGCAGGAAAATTTTGTGAATCTTTAAAGTTGGTAAAAAGGACATATATGAAATTACCTGATCGCGAAAAAGTATATACCCTTTCCAAGGATGAACATTTGCACGTATAAAATAAATAAAATATCCAAAAACTTTTCCCTCTAAATTATCTATTATAAACGTCACCTGCAAATTTATAACGCAAACATTAAAAATGGTTGCAAATACTTAGTGTCAAATATTTAAATTATTTGCCATGCACGTTTACTTCTACTGAAACGTATTCCAAAATACTACAAACATATAATTCACAAAATCACTATCATTTAATTAAAGTATAATTAAATTAAAAAACAATACTTAAAATGTAAACAAACACATACATTAAATTAATAAAAGTTAGCTTAAAATCTTAATTACTTTAAACTAATTCATTGCTAATAACAATTTTCCAATAATAGCATATTAATTTATTTATTTCTTATATTTAGAACAATGCATAAAAATAATATCCTCAAATGATTAAAAATACTAACTTGCCTAATCTTCTTCAGAATCTCAATCGTATTCGTATGTGCGCCTGTTTCAGGATCTTTAAAATGATACTTATGGTTAACAGCAAGATGTTGAAAACCTTCATCCTCCAAACAGGCATATGACTTCCAGCAATCAGATATTATTATTGTACCATGTAGAATATACTGCTTAATAAAACTTAATAAGCAATCTTTACTTCTATCTTGCACAACCTTAAAAAAACACTTATTGCTACCCCTTTCAATCCCACTAAATGCCCATTTCAAATTCACTTTACATAGGGCCATGGGATCCAAAAATTAAGCAACACTGTTTCACACAACACAGAATGAAGCTAAATACAAAATGCTATAAAGTACTGCAGATATTTTTCCAGATTTCCCCCTTTTTCCGATTAAAGAACTGTGATTCATCCATATATGTCACATGACATATCTCATGATCTCTCATTTCTCTCAGACAAATTAATCCGTAATTGGAACTGGTTACTTCTCACATTATTGCCAAAGTCCTAGATAGTAACCTTTATTGCCTACCAAAATGTCACCAAACTGCCTGTTACCATATTCCAAAGATTAGCCACTTTCTCTTTAATTCTCTTTTCTATAAACAAATATAATTTCTCGTTCAGTTACAAAGTTCCACTGTTCAAATCCTGTAATTGCTGTGTCGAGAATACCGACTAATTTGTCAATCGAAATTTTTTCGTTTTCAATAACCTCTCTGTCACTTTCTTCACTATCGGAAGCACTTATAACACTTTATTGGCTTTATGCGCATGTGTAAATTTGTGGCTTTGAGGTCCGGATTATAGATCATTCCAGATAATGGACGTCCGGATTACGGACTTTGTACT